TTAATTCTGATTCTTATAAACTGGCCTATACAATGTTTCATATTAATTCGTTTTGCGCATTCTCACCAAAATGGCATTTTAATTGTTTTGAACGATCTTTTTATCACGAAAATAAATTATTTATAATAGGATTGACGATTGCGATGCTAGTTACGTGGGTCAGACGAAAAGATAGCTAAAGACAAGATTACACGAACACGTATCCGATATTAATAAGAGGTCAAAATCTCCGACTGTGATTACAAATCACCGAATTGACCAGAATCACAACTTCGACTGGGATAATGTTGAAATCTTAGACAGAGAAGCCTCTTATAATAAGAAATTAATATCAGAGATGGTTCACATAAAACGACAAACGCATGGGCTAAACAAACAAAATGACACAGATTCTCTGCCAGAATCATATCTAAACATTATCCCATCTCTTTCCCCCCCTTAACATTGTCCTTTGTCCCCTTCCAATTATCTTTCCTATTTCTTTGTGTCCCTTTTGTCACAATGTCGCTTGACATCTTCGAGTATAAATGTGATATCCAAAGTGTATCATGGCTTACTTTTTATTTAATATAACTTTGTTAATTGCGTTTTCCTCTCGACGTCTAACTTACATCATTAAGACATTTTAAGGTATATATTTTTTATTCAATTTGTAATTTAATTTAATTTACTATAAAATGTATTGATAATCTAAACTATAACGCAATGTGAATTTATTATTTATTTGTAAGATTGGAGAATTGTAAAAAAGTGAGATTAGATCTCTTTCGACATTTTTACATATGGACCGCTTGTTACGAATATAACCTAACTCATTACTGGACTTTATCATTTGACTGAATTTTCCGATATTTTGTGTAGGATTGTTTGTTGTTTTGCATTGAAAATGACCCGATCGGTGTCGAAACGTTTGTATGTATTAAAAAAGTTTATTAAATATTCTTTATGTTATAACTGGCTCGTAGCCCTTTCTTTTAACTATTGATAAATTATTTATTTTTATTTTTTTTCATTCGATGACTCTTAATTTTTATATTATTTAACATACTTTTCAAGTTTCGAATCTTGATATAAAACATTATTTTTTTCCTACATTTTTTTAGTTTTTAAACTTAATGTACTTTAAAACTATTGAACTCTATATACATATATTAGAATCAGCCTTCCCTATCCTTGCAACCGCCACTCAGATTCGCTGAGTGCGATTACAATCGCCTCAATTTTATAACATAACACAACATATTTGAAAAACCAATAGAGCCAAGCCGAGAGGATGTTGATTGCGGGGAGGCCAAGCTGCCAAACGACGGTCCAACAACAGGATCCACAAACGGGAGAAGATGCCACGAAGAGCCCTCCCAAACTATTAAAATCACCCCGCATAAATTAAAAGACTTTAACAAAAGGCGCAATGCCAAATGAAAACATTTTATTATATTAATTTTATTATATTATAACTAACATTAAGTTCCAAACATATTATATTCATAGATATAAGTTAAATTTTAAGACTTTATTATACTCATTAAGAAAGAGAGTTTATTAAAAACTATGTTCAACATTTTTTACCAATAATTTAATCAATCCTTCAGAGGCGTAAGACACGCAAATACATTATAAAAAACAAGGAGCCATGAAAGAGCTCATCTTAACCGGGAAATAGCTGAATCTCGGGAAATACAATTTAATTTGAACTAAAGATAATTTATTCAGATAGCTTTAATGCATTATAAACATTCAAAAATAGTCTCAGCTCGATAGGAGCAGTTTAGAGCCGAAACGAGCTCATTACGAAAAAATATTATTTTTTATATATTGTACAGCGTCCACATGAAACTTATATATAAATCACGAAAAAGTGAAAAAATTAATTAATTACATTAAAAAACATTATAAAAAGCCTTTTGGGCAAAATTCATTTTTCACCTATTTTAATTTTATATTTTTTGGAAAAAATCCATTAAAAAACTTATGTGGCGCTTAATTAGACTCATTAGGAGCTATTGTAGCTCAAGAGTCGTAAAAAACTATTACGAGGTGAAAAAACCCGTAATAGAAATTAATTCTTTGATATAAATCAAAGAAGGTGTTTGA